CCTCTTCAGTACTGCCATCCTCACTGCCATAGCTGCACCCAGGGGCGTTGCTAGAGATTTTGGGCCCCATGAAAGCATATCATATTAGGCCCCCCAGTCCAAACCAATCCAGTTATTTTCCTAATTTTTAGGGCCCCTGTCACTCAGGGGCCCTTGGAATCGTCCTAGCTTTCCTCCCCCTTACGGCGCCCCTGGCTGCACCTACAGCCTTAGTTCATGTTACACTGATAACATTTACATTCATAGCATCAACATGATTCAGACAATATGTTTTGAGAATTATATGTTTTAAATATTATTTAGAGAAGAAAAAAAAAACATGTGAAAGGAAAAAGTGAAGTCCTGAGCACTAACCCATACATGATGATTTACATCTTATTTATTTACATCCCTAAAGCATTCTCACAAATGGCAACAGCCTCTGGCGAGTGGTCATTCACGCAGCAAAAAAAAAAATGAGTGCTTGGTTCAACTGCCTGCTCCATACAGGCCAGATACTTCAGCTGTAATGAGAGTACAGAAGCCTAATGAAACCATGTCACAGTGGTAGTCAGAAACAACCATCCACGCTGATTTCAGGCACTGCTAGAAATGTCTCTGTGGATTAGCCTCACTTAAGGCACTGGCAATTAACTGTTCAATTGCTCCCACCGGCAGGACAGTAGCTGTTAGTCTGAATTCCTCTCACAGTTCAAAAACATCCAGTTCAGTGAACTTGTGTGCATGTGCCCTACAATCACTGGCATCCTGTCCAGTGTGTTTGCTTTCATCGTGTACACACATACACACAGCAAGCCATTTAGAGATTGCAATTCATATAAGTGCATGTCTTTGTGCTGTGGGTAGAAATCCCCATAACACAGGGAGAACTTCAAATAAAGATCTGAGGAGTGATTCAAAGCCCCATCGCTGCTGATTTGGGAGGTACAGCACCACACCGATCAAGGTCATATTTAGAAAATATCAGCCACAGAAACCGTGCTGCACTGAGACCACACCATGTTACAAAAGCATGCCGTAACTGAATACAGGCCAGGAAGTGGATACAGTGGTACATCAGAACTCGAATTTAATCCGTTCAGAACTCCAGATCGAATCCTAAAAAGTTCGAGTTGTGATCGAATTTTCCTCATAAAAAATAATGGAAAACCAATTAATTGGTTCCCGGCCCCAAAAAATTACACCTAAATGTTTTTTTTAGCATTTAAACACAAAATGAACCGGATAAAACAAGAAGAGCATATACTGTTCTAAACACATCTAAGCACATTTATCAAAACAGTAATTTGTAAAGTAAGAAATGTATCCAAACAATGTGTCCTGCCCCGATCGTCCTCTCCTTCCGTGTGCCACGCCCCCTCGTTAACCCCGTGTTGAATCCCCGTGTGATCAGCTGTTTATGGTTGTTGTCATTAGTCCTCTGTATTTCGTCCGGCGTTTCAGTTTGTTTCCCCAGTCCGGTCATTGTATTGTCCGTCTGCGTTTTGCCTGCCTTACCTGTAATTAAACCCCGTATTCCCCGATACGTTGACGTCTGCACCTTTGTCTCCGTTCAGTCCCCGCTGGGCACGACAATATTATTATAATTAAATGTATTAATGGTTATTAATATTAAAATAATGAATAAGAAATCTTTATTTTTAAATGTATTTTATTATATAATAATAATTATTGTTACTGTCTATCATTGTCTAAATGTATTTTTACTGTCTAAATATATGTATTCAGCTAGTGTAAACATGCATGGTGCTATCACAGCTAATGCGAGGCTGAGACTGAAGCTTTACCCATTGTTTCCGCTGAGAGACGTGCCGCCTGACTCGTGCGTACAAGTTATCTTAGGTCAGCTTTCACGGTTTGACTTCTGAGATTCAGATCGAGCTCTAGGTAAATTTTTTTCGAACTGGTTGGTTCGACTTTTAAGAAATTTGAGTTCTAATGAGTTCGAGAACTGAGGTACTACTGTACCTTCAATTTAGCTGCATTGAGCCCCAATAAGAGATCAAAGTAAATGAGCACTGTCACATTAGGAGCCAGAAACAGCAGCAGGCAAGACAGTCCAATAGCAAACACTATAAAGATGCGAGCCCTCGTCTGGGCCCACACAGGTGTGACCAAACGGGCCACAGCGCTGAGGAACCCAGTCGGTCCTCCTAGTCTGGTTATTCTCATTTCAATTGTTCATGAAAGGAAACAAACTGACAACCAAAGAGGAAGATAATGTACAAAAAAACAAGTTTAATGATTATCAACTTCAGTTGTTTAGTGCTTATGTAAAAAACTACATACAGTGTATAATGGGGTCCATCAAAGTCACAGAGTAAAGCAGTGAGAATTGAAGAGGAAGAATCCTCCAGTAACACAGCAGCTTTTTGGAGGACCTGGCATGTTATGAGCCTACATGTGATCATCAGCATGGGTGCAGTGGTCCAGCAGAAAATACAAAACATTCCTATTAATTCTCCTCCACTGCTGATTTTCTGCTCGCTAACAAATTTTGGAGTTCATCAAAAAAAGCCCCAGATTGGAGGCAAATTGATCGATTGGCACAGATGTGTGAACTGTTCAAAGACGGCACCCGATGGAGTTGTCGATGTATTGCAGACACCCACCAGATATCTAGCATGTTATTAAATATCTGGGGCCGGTTGCACAAAACATCTTAAGTTTTGCCCTTAAGTATGACACTTAAGGTTTAATTTCTCCTTAGCCAAGGGATTTATTTAAGGGTGTTGCACAGAACCCCTTAAAAGGTTTCCTTAGTTAAGGAAAAACATTAAGGGATTTACATTGAAAGACGTTTTACAGCAGTAAAATTGTCCCGTTTCCATGGAGACAGTTCATATGCTTGCACTTGCGCCTGCTTGCGATACCCGTTATCGCCTCACAGTTACAAAGTAAAAAAAAAAATGGGAGAAAAGAAGACAAGAAAGCTAAATTGGTCAGAGGAGGAAAATATTATACTTTTGGAGGAATACAATAAAAGAAAGAACATATTTAAAAAGTAAATTTGATCCGCAAATAACAGCAAATAGAAAACAACGAATGTGGGAGGAAATTGCAATGAAAATTAATTCAAGAAGTCTACATTGTGCTACAACGTTAGTTATTTTATGTTCATGATTGGAAACTAACGAACACTGATTGATTATAGATTTTTTTCTGTTAATAAATTGATCTTCATATCCTCTTCTTGTTTAGAGGGGAATTTCACCACGATGTTCAACAGACGGGCAATGGCGTTTGAAATTCGGTGAATGACGTGGCACACCGTTGACTTGTGGATGAGATACATCGCCCGGAACGAGCCCATAGCATAAAACCGCAGAGCAATGCAGCTGGGAGAGTACAGCTTCTGATTGTGGAGTGATCTAACTATTGACAATCGGACAAATCATAAATTGACTGCCGGTCAAATTTATAAAGCAAAATCAAATCGTATCTAAGGAGTTCTCCTGGTCGCTGAAAACTCTTTTTGGGATTTATTCATTTTCGTTATTTATTATCATAAACTTGACCATGTTGCAGTTAAGGTACGGTTAGAGGTACCTTAATTTTTTTCCCTTAGTTTGGTTGCTAAGGTCTTTTGTGCAACTGTTAAGGGATTCCTTAAGTATAAGACCAAGATAAGGAGAAAAACTTAAATACTTAAGAGAAAAATTTAAGGAAACCTTGAGGAGGAGACTTCAGGGTTTTTTGTGCAACCAACTTTATTTTAAGGAGACCCTAACTCGGACTTTAAGGAAAATCTTAACTGAAGGTGTTTTGTGCAACCGGCCCCGGGACCTGTTCCAAATCCTATAGGTGTGAAAAGTGTCGCGGCTAGCAATGAGCGCGCCTACAGGCTACAGCCAATGAAAGTGTAAGACACTAGTGTGTTGTTACTAAAACTGTGATTTCCTGGTGTCATTCACACATGTGATTTCATGACAAAATGTAGTTTGGAGACCAGACAGACTCATAAGCGATTCTTCCTGGTGAAAGATCTTGTAGTGTGTGACCCCGTCACTGATCCGTCATGTAGTGTATAAACCAGAATGGCTTCAATACTCCCAATTACAAGATAAGTCGAGTAGTGTGAACATATATACCGGGTCATTAATGACCAAAGGTATGTAACAGTGTTTCCTGAAAGGCCCATGTGCATGAGTTAAGTTGCCTTAGAAACCATGAACAGACAGGCACTCACATTTTGAAAACGGAGGTAAATTATGCTAATAAGAATAACTGCTTACTTATAAGTAAAGTCACACATCGTAAATGTTGAGTGTTGGCATTAATTTAAAATTATTTGGCTGCCGGAACAAGGCATGTGGTTACATGATAAATATGAATACAAAAGTGTGCGTGTCTTTGTATGTATGTATGTATGTATGTGTATAAACACACACACAAACACATGCACACACACTTTTGTATTCATATTTTTGTGAGGACTGTCCATTCATTCATATGGGCAAAACTCTAATCCCAACTATGACAACCTTAACCCATTTACATTTGGTGTCTCTAACTACACGCTGTGTAAAGAAGTGTTTTCTCAAATTCAGTTTAAAATGTTTTCCCGCAAATTTCCACCTATGGCCACGAGTTCTAGTATTTAGACTAATATTAAAGTAGCCATTTGGCTGAACAGCATCCAGACCTGTTAGAATCTTATATACCTGGATCATGTCCCCCCTCAGTCTCCTTTTGCGCGAGACTGAACAGATTCAGCTCAGCTAACCTCTCCTCATAAGACATGACTCCTCATATATACATGACACACACACACACACACACACACACACACAAAAATACAGAAAAACGACTAACCACTATACGAACATTTTAGAAGACACCATCTTAGTGTTTGTGTGCAGTGAATTTAGCTTAATTAGCGAAAGGAAGAACAAGTACAGAAGATGAAAAACCTTTAGCAAAACTTTCAAACGTGTCTGGTATGAAGACCAGGACAAGCATGGCAGGAAACAGTCACTGATACCAAAACCACGCAGATCCACCGCCAAACTACATACATTTATTTATTAGATGCTTTGTACACAGAGGTGTACAGGTGAGGAATGCTTGGGGCTACAGAACATATGGCATCCCGGGAGCAGCTGGGTTTAAGGCCCTTGCTCACGGCCCCAGTGGTGATATGACTATTCTGCTGGCTACAGGATCTGAACCCACAACCTTTCAGACATGGGCACATATCCATGAGCTACACATCACCACACATCCAGAGAGGCTCCACAGCAACAGCCAGCTGCCACCAAGCAGTCACCACTGTGGGTCGGGATGTTATGTCAGTTCCGAGTTTGTCTTTATTGTGCAGCACCATCATCATCATCTTCATATATATTAAGGTTCTCAAAGCTGCCACCACAGCCTATACCTCAACAATTCCTGGCTTGGTCATACATGCACCTATGGGAGGGGCACAGACATGTCTGGGGGGGTGGGTTGGACCAAATAAGGGCAAATGTGATGCCAGGAAAAAAGCAGGTTGCTAAAGAGAGTGAGTCTGAGACAGAAGTCAAGAAAATGACAGTAAAGAGGCAGCAGTGAGACTGGATGGACTGTGGAAGCTATATTTGTAAGTGTGTATCTTCGGCCTGTATATTGGTGTGTCTCTAACTGCATGTCTGTGGGCAGTGTGTGTATGTCCGTTTACATCCGTGCGAGTATGTATATCGGAGGTGCATATACGTTGTCTGTTTATATTCCCGTGTGGGTGTGTATGGAAGCTGTATGTCGTATGTTCACATCCACATGTGAATGTATATGGGAGGTGTATGTCGTTTTTTTTCATCAGTGTGTTTGTGTGAGGTGCATGTCATTTTTTTTTTTTACACCCATGTACACACGTGTGTATGGGAGGTGCATGTCATTTGCTTACATACACATATACATGTCTATGGGAGATGTGCATATGTCTGCTTACAACCGTATGAGCATGTGTGGGAGGTGTGTGTATGTAATTTGTTTACATCTGTCTGAACATCTGTGTGCAGTCTCCTCTCATCCTGTGCGCAGGATGACATGAACGCCTGAATCTGTGAAAACTGGGCCACTCATGTCGCCCACCTTCAGGGCAAAGGAGGCGTCCTCAAACGGCTTCTGCATCTGACCTGGGGGCACGAAGAGCAACACAGTTAGCAACAAGCACTCAGTACAGTACACCTGGCCTTATTCCCGGCCCTACACCTGTAACAGCCCTGTGCTCAGTACAGTACACCTGGCCTTATTCCCAGCCCTACACCTGTAACAGCCCTGTGCTCAGTACAGTACACCTGGCCTTATTCCCTTCCATACGCTTGAAACAGCCCTGTGCTCAGTGTAGTACACCTGGCCTTATTCCCAGTCCTACGCTTGGCACAGCCCTATGCTCAGTATAGAATGCCAGGTCCTATGCCCAGCCCTGTCTGGCACATCCTACACCTGGTATAGTACACCTGTCCCTATACCCAGTATAGTACACCTGGCCTTATGCCCAGCCCTACACTTGGCACGACCAAAAGCTCAGCATAGAACCCCTGGCCTTTTTTCCCAGCCCTATGCTTGGCATGACCCTATGCTCAGTATAGTATGTTTGCCCCTGTGCCCAGCCCTAGGCGTGGCCCGGCCCTACACTTGGTGTAGTATGCCTGGCCCTGTGCCAAGCCCTATGCTCAGTATACCCCTTCACTTGCCCGGCTCAGTAAAGAGCTACATTTACCTCTGCCAAACAGGCCCAAGTCGCCTCCATTTCTTGCAGAGCTGCAGTCACTGAACTGGGAGGCAAGACTCTCAAACTCCTCTTCTCCAGACCTAATCCTCTCGATGTATTCTATTAACAAAGAGAATACGAAAGCTGAATTCTATCATTCTGTGTCAGGTCAGGTTGGGGAGCATGCATTGATGCAGTGTGTTGCCGCATGCACATGATGAAATGCCTTGGGATCCCGGCTGGCGACCCCCCAGGCAGACACATGGTCCAGTCCCACCCCCCAGAAATGGCCAACCATCTGCCGCAGCCAGGTGTTACGTGGGCGTCCTCTCAGCCTGGTCCAGCTGCTCGGGTCCTCAGCAATGAGTATCCTGCAAGTCTGATCACCCTCAGGGAAATACGCCACATGGCTGTAGTGCCGTAAGTGATGCTCCCTCACAATGCAGGTAATATGCCTCATTCGAGACTCCTCTAGCAACCGCTCGTTTAACACAAAGTCAAACCAGTGGTACCCAAGGATTCTCCAAAGAGACACAGTACCGAAGGAGCCCAGTCTTTGTCTCAGCTCACTGGATAGCCGTACAGCAAGACAGGGAGCACCAGAACTTGGATCTTCGTCTTCTTGCAAAAATATCGGGAGCACCACACACCCCTTTCCAGCGACCTCATGACCCCTCATGCTCTCCCAATCCATCTGTTGACTTCATAGGTAAGTGAATCTCTCGATGAGGACGACATTCTCCCCACAGACAAATACACTACTGATGGCTGTGCCTAAGAAGTCATTAAAGGCCTGGATCTTGGTTTTATTTTATATACACACATATATATACACACATACATACATACATACATACATATTAAAAAAAAGATAAACTAATAATGCCAGGAGGAAATTCTAATTTCCAGTAGCTCCATACCACAATATACACATAAACGGTAGAAAACACACACAGAAGAGACTATAAGGACGTGCATTAAAATTAAAATGGAGCTACTGCCTATTCTAAAAGTGCTGTATAAATAGTTCAAAGTAAAAGTAAATAAATAAAAAAGCATTAGTATGACCCTACACTAAGTGAGATTACTGACCTACCATGCATGATACTATAAATTAGTTATACTATTATGATCATGTATTGAGATGACTGACTCAAAGTAATGGGTAATAATAAGTGACCAAATAAAATTAGTCTCCCCCACCCACTCCCCCCTTCCGCCCAGGGTGGAGTTGTAAAGCGATCCAGGACACTCGCAATCCCAAACATTCAGACTCCTCACTTAGTCTCTCCAGAGTCCTGATCAGAGATTCCACTGACTCTGAGAAGATCACAGCATCATCGGCAAAGTCAAGATCAGTAAATATTTCTTCAACAACTGATGCCCCACAGCCGCTGGACCCCACAACCCTGCCCAACACCCAGTCCATGCAAGCATTGAAGAGAGTAGGAGCAAGACCACACCCCTGGTGAAACCCAAAATCAACTGGGAAGAACGTGGAGATTCTCCCTCTACTCTGCGTAGCACTCACAGTACCAGTGTACAGGCCAGCTACGATGTCCAGCAACTTCAGTGGGATCCCACAAAGTCTCAGGATGTCCCACTGGAAAACTCGATCAACTGAGTCAAACACTTTATGAAAATCGACAAAGGTTGCAAAGAACCTTTGCCGATATTCGCGCTTACGCTCAATGAGAACCCTCAGTGCCAGGATGCAGTCGATGGTGTACTTTTTAGGCATAAAACCAGACTGCTCTGGTTGCTTATAGGCCAGTAATCATGATACTGACTGAAATTAAATGACTGCTTCATTACATGACAGCTTGCCACAATTACATCAAGAGGCTGCACCCACTCACGCTGTATGAGCTCCAGGGCCTCCCCCTTGGTACGTGTGATGTGCTCCTCTCGCCATGACGATGGGCGACGGGATTGGTTGTGTTTCACCAGCAGGTGGGAGCAGCGCACTTTCTCCGGTTCACCTTTGCCGTCACCAGGTCCTGTTGGCCGTTCCCACTGGCTGGCATTGGTGATATGGTTAAAGTAGTACACCCGTCCTGTGTGAAAAGCCGGTGGGGAGGGGGATCATCAAGGTGGCATCAAGGTATGAGGGACAGTATAACATGATGAAGAGATTCAATTTTAAAAAAATGCTTGCCAAAAATATCTTCTCCAAGCTGGTGTTTGTATGATAATCGGTACGTGAGAATGTGGCATGTGTCAGTGGTTTGGTGGGTCCAGGTTCATGCCAGCTCTGCATGTGTGTTTGTGAAATTGGCCTCCTTCAGTGCCCTTACAGGATCCCCAATGGTCTCTCAATCACCCTTAAGGCTGGTTCATACTTATTGTCACAGCGTGCATGGCTGTGGTGAGGGCTGAGCAAGAGGGCATGTACCCCCAAAAATTTAACTGACATGGATGGTTTGTTTTGTTTTGCAATGCACCACAATTGTGTTACTCCTTCTGTGCTGGGCCATCCTCCTATGTAGCAGTTGTTTGGTCTCTCCAATGTAAAGTTCAGGGCACACTTCACTGCACTGAAAGGCATATACTACGTTACTTTTCTAGATTTGGTCTGTAGTATGTATGTAGTATGTGGAACATGTGGAAATTCTTCCACTAAACTCTGGAATCTCCAATCATGCAATGGTGACATTTGAGTGTCAAAGATTAACACATTGTTGGCTCCTAAGCATTACATTAGTTGGTCTTTCCATTGTTGTAGCTGCCATCAACAAATATCCAAACACTTGCACTGAGGCCATAGTGAAGCTGAACTGGAACTTTGGTTTCAAATGGTTAAGCAGTCTTGACTGTGTTGGTCCATTAAAATGAAAACAATTTAGAGATAAACACACACCTTGGTATACAGACCTGAAGTGGGAGCTTAGGCAAGTCACATGTAAGCTTGAAAATAAGCTACAGATTTTTGGATTTCCTGGAAAGAAGCTGTTTTAACATACCGACATGCCCTATCTAGGGTCAGGTACACATACCTCTCCAGGCTGATAGAAAAAAACAAAAACAATCCCAGATTCCTATATGGCACTGTGTCACATCTGACAAGGAAACATACCTCACTGGAGTTGTTGGTTCCAGCGACACTTGGCAGTAATGACTTTATTGTATTTTTTGATAACAAAATAACTGATAGAGATACAGAGTGTTACATCGACTGCTCACAACTTCCAGGCATCTGGAACTGCTACATCTGATAAAATAAATGAGGTACTTGAATTATTCTCTATAGAATATATAGATAAATCTGATCTACTAAAACTAATATCTTCAATGAAACCTACAACCTGTTAGATAACTCACAGTGCTCACAGAAAATCTTGCTTACGTCAGTAAAAATGTTGGCAATTTACTGGTTTCATAAGAAAAGTCCAATGACAAGCAATGTTTCACACATCTGCGTATATTTTCCATGAAGACATTTTCTTTTTATGAACTGTCAGTTTTTTTTATGACTGACTCATTTGGTTCTGTTCTTGCCATTTTGCTATTTTCAATTGTAGTCACTGGTTCCCAAAGGGACCGCAAGACCAATGTTTGATGTTTAATATTTTTATGTCATTCCAAAGGTGTTTAATGTTACTCATTAAAAAGCACCCAAATGAGACTACTTGTCAATTACCTTTTTAACTTAAAACAGCTTTTAGAGTGATAATATGGTTTCAGATTATTGCTGCTGGAAATGAAAGTTTTACTTAAAGTACTTGTTGCTTCTAATGTGATTATTCATTTGTTTACAAAAAATATAAGTAATGATTTTTGTTATAAAACCAATATATTTGCTATAAATTAACTGAATTAAGCGTCATAAGACCTATCCTTAAGAAACCAAAGCTGGATCCCACTGATTTGGCTAATTACAGACTCATTTCTATCCTTCCATTTTTTTCTAGTGGCTAGTCAGCTCTTTCTCTTCTTGCAAAGAAACATCATTAATAAAATGTTCCAGTCAGGGTTTATGCCAAATCACAGCACTGAAACTGCACTAGTGAGAGTCATTAATAACTTGCTTATGGCTGCTATTGATGGTTACATATCCCTGTTGGTTCAACTGGAGCTAAATGCAGCATTTGATACTGCTGATGACTTTGGTTGCTGTTAAAGGGCAGGTCATGGTTCCGCTCTTATTTGATAAACCGTCACCAGTTTGTTCCTCTGAACAACTAATCTTCTGAATCCACCAGAGTGAGGTATGGTGTCCCGCAAGGTTCTTCCCTGGGTCCACAACTGTTCACCTTATACATTCTGCCCCTTGGTGATATTATTAGGAAATACTGTGAGTTTTCATTGTTAGGTACAAAGTGCAAAAAAAAATTTTTTTTTTTTTTTAAAACTCAGCAGTAAGGTCTCTTACCAGAAAACATGACCCAATTACTGAAGAAAATCCCCACACTTTGTAGTGAGCAGTTAAATGTTTAATTTAATATTCTTTTACTGAACTCCACACACCCATTGCATCACTGCACAGAAGATATTGCCGGGGTACTCAAGCTCATGTCTTCTGCACAAAAAAAATCGGTTAATTTTTGTGAAAGTTGTTACTGAATAAAACAAAGAAGCAAACTTCTGTAAATCATGTTGGCTGTAGATTCCTTCCTGTAGCATAGCGGCATAGTGTTTGCTTGAACACAACCATTGTATTTTCCTATTTTTAGCAAACTCATTCAATGCCATAATTTGACACGTTAATTGAAATGTATTGATACAGATATCTCATTTAATGCTTAGTAGTTGATAAATGGGAAAAAAAAATATTGGATCAGTATCCGCAGATACAAGGTGGCGGCAGACCTGTCCCAAAAACACAATTAGTAGATTTCAAGAATAAATTGTTCCTTTAAGAGCAAAAGATCTTTGAAAGCAAGGTGAATAAGCAGGTGAATGTGGCTAAAGTAGTATACAGAGACTGAGTACAATGTGGGTCACTTCAAGGGGAAAGTAATACAGCCAGTGGGAAGGAGAAAGGAGATGAGAGATCTTACTATTATTAATAAAACTGGTATAACTAGGGTTTGGAATTTTGGTACAACAATAATTTTGAAATAATTTATTATAACTGCAAACACAAACAATTACGAATGGTTGTAAACCAAAGGCAATGCATCTGCCGACATGTTTGAGTAACAAAACCTAGGAGTGTATATGCGCATTGTAAAAATAAAAATGCACGTCAAAAATACATAATAATCACCATGAACTGCATCCTCTCTAATTACCTTGGTCTCTACTGCCGAGTATGGTTGCATATCTGCAACAATAAACATCACTGTAGCCTTAATATTTTTTTTCTTTTTTGTTTTAACTAAACACTATAATGTCCGTACAGAATGCCTGATCTTAGTCTATCTGACTAGTGATGTAAGAATTGCACGTACATAACAGGCGATGTTGGTATCCGACTCGGAATCCAAGTTCCGAGGGCAAATGGAATGCACGATTAACTCTAATTTTATTTTCAGACTCTCCTTCAACGCTTCATCATTTATTTCATTACTAAAGACATTGTTAAAGAGTCTTTTGACTCTTTAACAATGTCTTTAGTAATGAAATAAATGATGAAGCGTTGAAGGAGAGTCTGAAAATAAAATTAGAGTTAATCGTGCAGACCAAAAGCTATTGCATTTATCACACACAAGTCACATTGGGGAATGCATTATTTTCATGGATGTCCATTATTTCAAAATGGACAATTCAGTAAAAGTAGTGGGATTTTTTAATTCAGCACCCTCAAAATACCCTAAATCCATTCAAAAAACCTTGGCACCTGAATCTTATTTTTTTTTTATAGACCTGTGTAATCATTTCATCCTTGCTGTTTAAATCACTTCTAGATAGGTTTGTGAGAAATTTGTTGAAGTTTTTTTCCTTTATAATTTCTCATTTTTGCTTATGCAAATTTATTACAACAAAATCACACTGCAATATCTGAACATTTTCCAATACTGCACTGCCCTAGTATATTATAAAAAATATTTTTTAAATTATTTCTTGTCATGCTATCTTGATATCTCTTCTTCTGACCAGATCACAATTAAAGCTTGGATCTCTTCATCTGTCCACACATCCATTATTACTTTTAAAAAAAGCCAGCCAATTTGGTACGTTAGGTACTGGAACTTTTGGCACTAGTACTTGATCATAAGTCATTGGAATAGGGGAAGTACGGTAGTACCATACCAAAACTACGGTTTCTGGTACGGTGGAAAAGCATCATGACTGTTGAACAATTATGCATTTAAGTAGCGCTTAGCTAAAACTCAGCTGCATCAACACTAAAACATTTCAGTCCATAGATGAATGAACCCAACCATCAGAGGGTCTCTGATGAGACCAAAATTGAATTTTTTGGCCTCAACACAGACGTTAGTCTGGTGGATGGAAGGGACTGCCAATGATCCGGCAAACACCATACCTACCATCAAGCATGGTGGGGGGAGTGTCATGCTTTGGGGCTGCTACTCCAGGGCAGGCACTGGGTCCCTTGTCCATATTGAATAAAGAATGGATAATAATAAGTATATCCAGATTTTGGAAGAAAACCTTCAAACATCAGCCATCAAATTGGAACTCGGACGACGCTACCACTTTCAGCAGGACAATGACCCGAAACACTGTGCAAAAGTAACCAAAGTATGGTTTGACAAAAAGGTTTTACAGTGGCCTAGCCAGAGTCCGGATCTGATTCCAATTGAAAATTTGTGGTGTGATCTCAAAATTGCAGTTCACAAATTAAAGCCTTCAAACCTGGCTCAGTTGGAGCAGTTTAGCAAGGAAGAATGGGGAAAATGGCCTCCATCCAGATGTGCTAAGCTTGAGGATGGCTGTCCAGAGTGATTTCAAACAGTTATTGGCGCAAAAGGGTGCAGCTACCAAGTATTGATTGTGTGTCATGTGAAGGGGTCAATTACTTTTTCAACACCATTTTTAAAAACATGACTGTCAATTTGCATTTGTTTAATTCACCAAGCTCTGATTGTTTTAAAACATGCACACAGAGAAATAGAAGTTCACTGTGATACTATGCATTTGTGATTTTTATAGGTTGTAATGATGCAAGATGGAAATTTGGTGGCTTTCCAGAGGGGGTCGAATACTTTTTCAACCCACTGTATATCTAACTTCTTTGTCAATTATCTGTCTCTGTCAATTTTATGTTATCTGATCACAACTTGATATGTTAACTTTTGTAAATAGTTAGCTAACTTGGTAAAATAAAACAAAAATAAACTCTTTGCCATCGAGATGCTAAAAATATTGTACTTGTGTCATAAGACGTGCTCCATAGACGGGTCCCCTATGCTGTTGAATAGTATGCAGCATGTCTGATAACTGGTTCCAAAAAACGGTTCTACTTCGACTATGTGAAAATGGTTTGGATTTGTAAAATCCAAAGAGGACCAATCTAATGTCATTTGTGAGCTTCACAAAGATACTGTTCGTATGGCATGTGTCAACAACCAATTGTATTTATCTACTTTGTATTTGTTGTAATCTCAGTTCTAAAATGCACAGTTATTGGCTGAAGTAACAACGGTTCATTTGGATTCTAAACTTTATTTAAAAAAAATTTAAAAAGCACTTTTGCTCTAATGAGACGCTTTTATATGTACACTATTGTACATGCCTTAATTAATTTTCTTCAGTTCCTATAAGGATAGAATTGCTGTTAAGTGTTTAAACTGTTAATAAAATTACATTCCACTTTGGTTGGTTTGTAAACAATCAAAAAAATAAATGGTATTCTATATCGTGGATCGTGATCCTAACCAGAAATATTGTGACATGACATTTTGGCCATGTATCTGGACCCAGAGCCGGCGAGCCCTATAGGCAATATAGGCGATTGCCATTTGATTAGGAAGCACAAAAGAGTGAGTGAAAAAACGGTGGCATTCTGTAACATTAGTTATTTAGACTAGCTTTAATATTTCAGTACTTTTCTTGTGAAACAGACAAGTTAACTAGTTAGCAACTGTGACACTGAAATGTTTTTAATATGAAAGAATTGACTAAATTTGTTGTCTGCTACTATGGGGAACTGGGCGCTCAGCAGAATCTCGTCTAGGACGCCAGAACACCCAGGTCCTGTCTGCACCCTATGTGTTGTGTACCCGCATGCATCTGCACCCTAACTACTGTATACCTCCAGAACTAGTACGCCGACCAAGTCGCAAGCTGAGGCTAAGACTGCGCAGATAGCTGCAGTTGCACTATATACATATCTATTTAAGCCCATCTAGCTGGATTTATACACATTTACATGTAGCACAGAGTGTGTTACTACAGATGACCATCATCAGAGTGTAACGCAGAGATCATTCTCGGTACCCTACTCAAAATCCTGCGTTTACACCCTAATTTTTGTTTTGACGCAATGCACTCTTTAATATGCACTATACCTGGAGACCTGGATACATTTACTGCATGAATTTATACATTCCATTACTGCAGTATCGAGTCCTTCAATACAAATGATGATCATCGCACTGATCACGTGCGATACCTCGCTAAAAAAAAAAAAAAAAGTCGCGTTTACACCCTTAGTCACTTTGACGCAATGCTGTCTTCAATATGCACGTTCCCCACCAAACTGAATATATTCATACAACCCATCCTTGTAGATGCCAGGACCTCGGGAGTTAGCTACACGCCATGCAATGCTTGCGTCCAGCATACCTGAGCTGCGGCTCATCCGCTTCTCCCACCCCGATGGCAGCTTCTCATCATCCGCCATGTTGCCTCCGCGTGCTGGCTCCGCGCGCGCACATACCCTCTTGCATTTCCGCACGCGCGCACAGTTATTTCTCCACTCCTGACGCTAGGGAGCGATACTCCGCTTCTGCTTTGGTGTTTTCGATATTGTCGAATATGCTATGTATTAAATTTATCTGTTAAAACGATTAGAAGGTTTTTACTTATTCACGTTAGTTTGAAATTTATATTTCAATATTTTATTTATATTAATATTTTAAATTAAAATAACATATTTTTCTTTTTCAAGAAGCACCATACGGAAAGTAACGACAGTTCTAGTTGTCACGTCACTTCATCTCGTTTTACGGCATTTATGTAAAGGCTCATACACGAGAAGTTCCTCCCTGGTTTGAAGTAAGCTAATGTCTTATTGGATAACGGGACGTCACTTACATATAACAGTATTGGATTGCATGTGTCTTGCAAAAAAAAAAAAAAAAAACTATAGTCGCGCAAGTATTTCTTTTCGGCATATTGTGTTCAGTTAAGGGTCTCTTTAAACCTGGGTAATTTTGTTGAACGAGACTAAGTGATAAGGTGAGCTGTTAAGTTTTCAGTGAGTATACGCGCTTGTTACATATGTTTATATGTAGCTTCTTACAAAACGAAGATAAAATCGATAAACCGTGTTTGCGTTTAAATGTATGCAAGCGCATTATTCACGTTATAGGGAACTACTTGCGGTGACAGTAAACGTTTAACCTCATGCTCAGATACTGTAAACCTGATTCTAGCCACTAAATGGCATGGTCTTTATATGTTTTTAATTTCAGGACCAGCCTGACAATGATTGAAGTGGTTTGCAACGACCGCCTGGGCAAGAAAGTGCGGGTGAAGTGCAAGTATCCTTGTCATGTCAGAATGGCTAAAGCTCATGGAATGATTCTTGTCTCATGTTCATTGTAATCGCTGGGTATTGGAGAGCTGTATTACAGTTAAATAAAATTGTGTTAAGACTAAAAAAATAATGCAAAACTTAATGGGCAAATATTCAAATTGAATACTTTATTTAATATTGGGAATGTGAAGGTGTAATCTTTGTGGCCATTGTGATTAAGCTTATCTCAAATTTGTGTACACATTGCACTCAGTTTTGGAGGGTTATCCCGTTGTGTACCTTAGCTTGAACCTCCAGCTCAGAGGATACCATTGGAGATCTGAAGAAGCTGATAGCTGCCCAGACTGGCACCAGGTGGGACAAGATTGTACTGAAGAAATGGTAAGGCGACCTTCATCCTCTTTGGCTGAGATGCAATACAGACGTTCTTTGCTTTATGATGGTTTGACTTAGAATATTTCCATTTTACAATGGAGCGATGGCAATGCACATTCTGTAGTCAACTCTGAATCTGTTGCTGGGCTAGCTATACACCGTATGATACAGTAAAACCGGTCTAAGTCGACACTCGCGGGACCAGCTTAAAAGTGACGACTTAGAGAATTGACGAGATACACCTAAGTCGACACTTAAGCGACTTATGTCTATTTCGCCGTTTTGCCGACTAGTAAATATAACACCATACCTCTACTCATCACGGTAGAGACCTGCGCGGGACAGATTTTTCAGTCTCGCTCCTGCCCGCTCCCGGAAGATTCTGTCCCGCTCCCGCAAAAAAAAATATATATTATTTTTTCCCGCTCCCGCTTGCAGTATTCAAGTTTTGTCCCGCTCCCGCCCGCAAAATACCGCAGGTAAATATATAAGTAATTTTACGGCACTCAGAGCGCGGCAATTGTAGTTTCTGTAGACGATTCGCCTGTAAATTGTTATTATTTTAATATAGTCGTTCTTGTTGCTTTTGTGCAGTAGATAAATGAGTATTTGTTTTTGATAAATTAATTTTAAGATAATTACATTTTGCGGGAGTCCCGCGATTAATTCTATTCTCCCGCAACCCGCACATACATGAGGACCTTACCGCCCACACCCGCATTCACCCATCAAATCGAGTCCCGCGCCGCACTCGGTCCCGCGGTACTCCCGCGTGAGTGCAGGTCTCTACATCACGGCCTCGGCATCCAGGGAGCGACTAGTGCTATAGGTGGGGATTTCCCGTTTCTACATTGCCGTGGTGACAAGCAGGCGGCGGGAATGCAGCGATTGGGGTGTCGACTTACAGGTAGGAAAATCCATTCATTTGTGTTGTTCGGGACCGGGATATAGGTGACGACTTACAAGCAGCGACTTACACAAGGAATTTTAAAGGAAACATCATTAGGAAAAATCGGGACTTTTGCTTGAGCGTCGACTTGTGCACATTGACGAGTTACAAGCCGGCGACTTAGTCCAGTTTTACTGTACTTTTTACTGATGCTTGGTCATGACAGTATTCACGCAGCTGTCCGGTCTCTGAATCAATCGCAAGGGTAAACATCTTGTACAGTGTTTTAACTAACCTATTGCAGAGTGTTTTTTCCCTGTGTTTAACCAGATAAACTTGTGTTCATTTATTTACTTTTTAATTATTGGTATTTAGTTACAATAACTATTTATTTACTTATTCAGTAACATTAGTTATATACTTAAGATTCATATTCAACTTATTAATATTTTTCACTTACAATGGGTTAATCAGAATATAACACCATCGTAAGGTGAGGTGCACCTGTACTGCGAACAGGAAATCAGCTCTGAGGAAGGCAGCACAGTGCTTTGGGTGCAGAAACATCCATCTGTCTTCCATAACCCTGGATGGGGTGTCATTGTAGCATAGACGCTTATAGTCACATATTATGGGCAGTTTTCAAAGTACAGAAAGAAAAAGGAGAACCTAGATGTATGAGCAAAATCATAGACCAGATATTACAAATAGCAAATGTATTTATGCCCTTCCTTTGGTATTCTTACCAGTACAAAATATTATGTAACTCAATTTGCAAACTATTCATATAGTAGTTGAATAAATAATATGTGGTTGCATTAATTTTGTCTAAAAGCATTGCATTGCATCTGAAGCATTGCAATGTTTCAGAAATATCTAGATACAGTATGCCAAAAGTAATTTGTTACCCTAAGAAGGAGGACTGAGTCTGAATGTTCAAGGTTTGAAAGAGACATGTATGTTTAGTTTTGCATTTGAAATATCTATGCTACTGAGAGAAATGCATTATGAGATGTCTATGTAACTTCAGGTGGTAGTAATTCAAAGCTGCTTTGTATCATCACAGGTACACAATATTCAAGGACCATGTGTCTCTGGGAGATTGTATCCTTCCTCCTAAGTGTCGTCTTATAGAATGGGCATCTTGAGTTCTGCTTTTCCTAATGCTTTTATAGAAGTCAGTGGTGCAATGGCTTGCCTCATTAATTAACATTGAGTGTATCATTGCTATAAGGTAGAGCCAGTGCCATGTTAAAATAGCCTAAGCCCCTTTCTTAGCTGGGCAGCCCTTAACTTCATATTCCACAGATGAAATCCACGATGGAATGAACCTGGAGCTATACTACCAGTAGAAGAGGCTAAACAAGCAAAGCTCATGTCTCCCATGACTGCTGAAACAAATTGTCCTAGAAGACTTTTTTTTTATTTGTCATTTTGTTTTGATATAATCTGATAATAAAATGGGTATTTATGTAAAGTCTGTGTTGAATGTTTGCTGGTTAATGCTCATTTCATTTGCAGTGCTATTATTTCCTTGCTGTGTGTGGTTTTCTAAATAAATTGTGACAATGCATTGAAAAAAACTGCCCTGTGATCCTAGGCATACTGATGACCTGTCACAAGTGAGGAAACATCAAGTCAACACAAGAGGAATATAAGAACCCCAGATTCACTTGTGTTGTGTACAGTGTGAAGTCAGGTATCGCTGCAGAGGCATGGTTTGTGCTGAGCATGTATGCATGCTTGGACATGTTTGTATTGTTGACATTGTGATAATCTGAGAAATAGGGGTCATTTATTGGCAGCCGGGTGTTCAAAGAAATACCAGTTCTATTGAGTACATTCAGAAAGTTTACAGAGTTCTCAGGAAAGACAGCTTGTTGACCTCTGTCAGAACATAGTCCTGGGTGATGTTCCAGTCCAGCAGCTGCAGGCTGACAGCCTTCCTGTGAGAGGGAATCTGCTCTAATGTTGCTAAGATGTAGTTTTTTGGCAGTGATGCATTTTGTCAGTTTTTTTTTTTATTAAAACATACAGTTAGTAACCTTTGTTTTACCCCACTGCTAACTGGGTACAGAATATAACTGGAGAGAGGCAGGACTGCAGATGGCTGAGGCATCCTGAGTGGATGACAGAGCTGAGACAGTACATCTGTAGATGACACAAGAGCTTGAGAAAGGTGGGCTATAACAGGTTGTGAGGCTGGAGATCTTCAAGCCTGGACTAAGGAGTGGAGGTCTGCGTAGGACTGGACACAGTGAGGAGTTGAAGGTCTGTCCAGGCATGGACATTGTGAGGGGTGGAGGCCTGCACAGGCATGGACTCAGTGAGGGATTGGAGGTCTGCCCAGGCATGGACTAAATGAGGGTTTGGAGGTCTGTGGGCTTGGACTAAGTGAGGGTTTGGCGGTCTGTCTGGGCCTGGACTCAGTGAGGGTTTGGAGGTCTGTCTGGGCTTGGACTCAGTGAGGGATTGGAGGTCTGCGTAGGCGTGGACTCAGTGAGGGATTGGAGGTCTGCCCAGGCATGGACTAAATGAGGGTTTAGAGGTCTGTGGGCTTGGACTAAGTGAGGGTTGGAGGTCTGTAGGCTTGGACTAAGTGAGGGTTTGGAGGTCTGTCTGGACTTGGACTCAGTGAGGGTTTGGAGGTCTGCGCAGACATAGACACAAGAACATGTTCCCTCTGCTGTGGGGAATTTTCTCAGGTTTTTGGTGGCAGCCCATGGCTGCTTTTGCTAGCAGTAGTCAGAATAGTCCTCCTCTACATAATTAGCAGGAAACAGTCCAATCTAAGAAAGAAAAAGATGCAAAGTTCCATGAAAGTCCATCCATCTATCTGCTTACTGCTTACCCTGTTACACTGGTAAAGGTCATGGGGATCAGCACATATGTATTTATTCACCAACAGCTAGCATGCACATTACTACAGCTCTCAGTTAAAGTCTACTCCAGCAATTTAAAAGACTGGTTCTAGCACTTTTTTCAGTTTTTTAGTTTTTTGACATTTTACTTGGAAGTGATATTTGTTATATCTCCAATGTTGCTTGAACTGCATCACTTCAGATAAATGACACTACTCTTGCTACCAGCCCTTTAATCCTGAACTGGAATTGACTATTTTAATTTATTTGGAAATATTGTTAGTTTACCTACCTTGCTGCACTTTATTAAACAATAAAATGTTTGCATTCTGGGGGTAAGTGTTTAATGCTTCCTTTGTGGTATTTAATTGTTAGATTATTTTAATGGAATAATGATTTTTTTGGTAATACTTAAAGCTGTCATCTATAATGCATTATACATACTTTCATAATGCATTATAATGGTATAAGAATTAAAGCATTACAGCATAAGGCATTATAATGTTGATTATAATATTTCAAAAGCTCCAGTAAAGCTCTAACCTATAACACAATTCCTAATGCATTATAATGGTTGGTATAAGCATTAAGGATGCGTTGTACTGCATTATGAAGGTATCTGTAGTGCAATGAGCTTCATAAAGCATTCATAATGCATAATAAACATGGCTATAATATGTTATGCCTTTTCATGAATATACTTTATATTTATAGCCATTTTTATAATGATTTATGAATGTGTTCATAGATGTTTGTAGACATAACATTCATAGAAACTTTTGTATTAGGTATTTAGCAAATTAGTCATTAGATTAGCCAATTAATCAAAAAAATAATCATCTAGGTGCAGCCCTAATCGATGGTGCCTCATTTAACAGCAAATAATTTAGAAATGTTTTTCTACTGTAGAGTGTAAGTGCACTGAATTACCCCTATTGTTATACATTATATACTTTTATATGACTTAAAAGGAAAGTTTTTCAACCTTTTTTATACCTGGGACCCCAAAAGAAGATACTCCAGAGAGCTAGGGACCACCTCCCAATGGGGCATGCATGTGAAAGCACATGGCGGGCTATGGTTGGCACTTATATCTGGAACCCCAAAAGATAATGCTCCAAAGAGCTAGGGAGAACATGCGTGCAGCTTCCCCTTTCATTTTTTTTCACTCCACCTTGGGGAATCCCCTGTAGTGTATTCACTCTACCTGGGGGAATCCCCTGTAGTCTATTCACTCCACCTGGGGGAATCCCCTGTAGTATTTTCTATGTCAGTTTGCAAAACATTTTGCAAACCCTCTACCAATGCTGATGGTAAGGTATTACTATAATCTACTTTTCTCTGTAACAGTAGTGTAATGGATTACAATTTCAGTTTTTGTAATCACATTACATTTACTTCCTTGATTATAATTACGTTACTAGTTTAGAATTTAAATTTAAAATATTATCTTGCTTGTGCTTTTCCTTTTGGAATGGCATTCAATTAATATAAAGAAAAAGCGAAAGAATGGTAAAAACATGTTTTACTTTGTAATTAAGAGTAACATGTAATTAGTAATATGGTTGTTTTCTGAAAGTAATCAGTAATATGATTACAGTTTGAGACAAGTAATTATTAATCTGTAATGCCTTACTTTTTAAAGTAAATTCCCCAACAGTGCCCACTACTACTGCTCTGTGCTGTAGACTGAAAACCTCTGAATTTAAGAAATGCCCCGTAGTATGAAGAAGAAGAGAAGGGCAGCCGGGGGAAGCCTTACCCGGCCATAGACTTCGCCTTTCCACCACCCGTTGCTGGCCTTTTTGGATATGATTTTTATCGTGTCTCCCTCTCTCAATGAGAGCTCTGTGCGATCACGGGCAGAAAAGTCATACCGTGCTCTGGCCGTACCAAAGTAACGCACACTGCCCTCTGGTGGAGAGAAGAGAAAACACAAGGTGAATCCCTGCAGTGTCTGGGAGACATTATCCTCTTGCAAAGCCACTACCAACTGCGACACAGACCACTGTGTGTGACCATAGTAATACAGTCTTCTCATTCCTGAAATCTACAGAAGTTTTACAACTGGTAAGGTGATATTAAATGAAACTATAAATCTGAAAATATTTCAATAAATATACCATAACAGTGCACATTCCTGTGCGCTGTAGTTTGAATTTGGGGTATGAGGGGGTTGATATAGAGTAGCGTCTCACCAGGGGTGGGTGGGGTAGTGTTCTTTTCTGGTTCCTTATAAGGGAACTGCAGGGTAGTGTCCAGGCCCTTGAAGCACTCCCTGAGTGTATTTTGCTGATAAAACTGCACCAGGTCCTGTAGTGGAAATAAAAAGAAATGGCTGCATTACAGAAAGCAGGCTGAACCCCAGGTTAGGGTTACGGCAAGGGTTAGGACTGGTGGTATCCCTGTTTTGCTGAAAATAGTCGTAACTTTGAAGCAACTACATTTTCCAACATAGTACAGATTCCACCATTCTTTGCTAATGACTTAGTGTTACCAATGAATGTAGCCACCAATACCAGAGAGAGAGAGCAGGATAGCATACATACAATCAGGCCTTTGAAGGCCTTCTTCTCGTTGATGCGGTATAGCCCCTCTGTTGATGTTATCTTGATGTGTTTAACTTCCACCTTGAATCTGCACAGACAGAGAAGACCACGTATGAAAGCTGGTGCATCAAGCAGGCTCGTGTGAGACTTTCAGCTCTGAGGAGCACCATGAAGCTCCAGGTCCTGGGACACATGACTCACTTGATACTGATGGCAAACTCTCCTCCGTCCTTTTGTCGGACCAAGTAGGTTCCATCAGAACGAGACATCAGCAAATTCTTGGCTGCAGTGCGGTCCATGTTGCCAGCAAACCTGGCAGGTAGAACATTGGAGTCTAATCATGCATCTGTCCATCTTTAAACAGCTTAACCTGGCCATGGTTGTGTAGTGGGCTCTATTCCTTTCTGTATATTGTTGATTCCACATAACTGCATATCGAATAACGACACATTCCGTTTTATTGCACAGTGGCAGCTGGTCCCATTTCAGATGAATGGTGTTCTATGGCAACATGTTTCAATTAAGCACACTTCTTATATCTGCATAATCCAGGTAAATGCAACTGTCACATGGTCTCAATCTCAATATTACAAAGTAAAACATTTTGGGTAACAGCACAGAATTTTATTTTAATTAAATGAATTTTGGTTTATATGCTGACCTCAAACCTAGAAAATTGCTAGCAAAAATAGTTTGTGGGTTACACTGGAAATTCTGGCAAAAAAAATAAACGAAAGCTATTGGGGTGTCTATCGCTACAGATATGTGACCATACTTTTGTAATAGAGAATATGGGATTTTGTTCATGTGATTGTTTTGATACAGACATCTTTTAGATTTTTTTGTTTTACATTTTTATTTTAACCGCGCTAATGAGCCTCTTTGTTATTCATTCATGTCAACAGACACATTGCTTCATGTTTGGTTTACAACTGTTACTAATTGTGTTTGCAGTTCTAATAATACAGTATCAAAATAAATTCTGTTTCCCTGCTGAACTGAAATGACACTGAGCCATGAACCCAAGAAGGCAGCTGTACTGATGTCTAGGGGTCCATTTCCTTCAGAGAACCCAAAATTTGCCCAGACTTTGGATTTAAATTGAGACCGTGTTGGAAAAGTCTCATGTTCATCATGGAAAACATGCTAATTGTGGATGTGAGTTGGTTACAGCTAATGCTAGTTACAGTCAGTCATAATTAGCAGTTTGGGACCATTTTGGTTTCCCAATAAATTACACCAACACTACTCCAACATTGCCTTTGGTTTGCATTCATTTCTATTTGTGTTTGTGTTTGCAGTTTTAATGATAAATAATTTCGAAACAAATTCTGTTTTCCCTGCTGTACTGAAATTGCACTAAACCATGAACCTAAAACTGAGGTTTGTACCGAACCGAGAACTTTGTGTATGACCACACCCTAACTACACAGGCTGTCGCATATGTCTTCATTTCAAGAGGTCTGTTGCAATATTATAGACCATAGTAAAGTTAGCTCCTTTCACGTTATTTACAAAAAAATCTATTAAATATATATTCTCCAGCACCTGACAAAATACTGACTGTTTCTGGCACTGCATCATATAGCAATACAGACATCTATCTGTCAGCATATTGATTTGAGAGAGGTGTTTGAGGGACAACTAGGGCAGGTGGGGGAGTGCAGGCTAGGCATGGGCGGTGTTATGGAACAAATTTTGTTTAGGGGGTTTTGTTCAGTAAGTGGCTAGGTGCCTGATCGTTAGCAAACAAATTGGGTGTGTTGGGGGGGGGGATGTTTCACTCATTTTACTACGTGGATACATGCTTGATTCGGGGGTGTCAAGGAGCTGCTGTCAATTTGCGGGAGACTCACAGAGCTTCCAGCTGAGTTGTGATGTTAGGGAATACAGCTGTCATTTGTTTACATATACCTGTACTAAGATTATGCTATACCAATATTCATGATTTTACCAAGTAATGTACGGTAGTTAAACTTTGGATAAGCGCACACTCCATGACAATGTATGAAATTCTTCATATTCTTATAATAAAAGGACCTGCTCCGCTTGTGTGAAAAGGTGCGCCCTTCCTTTCGTCATTTTGTTGCAGCCTATCAAAGACTCTATGATCATGTTTTCTAGACTCGATATATATAAGCTTTTCCATCAGCGCGGGCTTGCGCAATCATCTCGAATGATTGGATCCAGCTAGACTAATCTACTACACAGCTGCATTTGAAAAACCAACTTATCCTGGATGCATTAACTCATCCAAGACAAGGCATCTGATCTCAGATGATTTAAGCGACTCTGATTACATAGAACAGAGAGCCAAAGGGCACCATCAGTAATGTCTGCAGTCCAAAAAATGTTGTATTACCCATGTCCTTGAACTGGATAAGTGGTTGAAAGATGGACTGATGCATTATATTTAGAAAATTAGTGGTACCCTGGTTACAAAATCACACAGATGTAGTCATGATTCTCACACAAACATATAGCCTTGGGAAAACTTAGGAGGTCACTCTATATTTTTAAACAAATCTGCATTTTAAAATCCTGGTTTAATCCTCATTCTGCTGGGAGAAGGTTATGCTGAACAACAAGATGCTTCAGGGTTCAAAATTTCTAAGACACAATACGTATATATCTGTGTCTGTGTGTTATATATGTTTGTTTTACAGTATAAAGTTTACAAAAAATGGGTGAAATGATACCATTATCCAGACATGAAAGGTAATGTCATATAGTGATGAAGAAAAGCAGCATATGTGTATCGTACATTTACAAATGTACAAACCATGGAAAGTCTGTCAGGTCTGGCGTAGGTTTCTGTGCACAAAAAGAGAGTTCAATTTTAAAAAACAATACAAAGGAGCATGTCATATACATAATGCATTAATCTTTACCGGTATTCATGGATACGAGGATAAGACATGATGGCATATATGGTGTATGTAAATTAGCAGAAGTAATACATTACAGCTGTTTTATTTGTTTGAAAGGGTTATGGTTTATACGTAAGCTATACTTGTATTACATGACAACCCAGCTGGACTTACAGGGACATATGGCCGAACTTTAGAACAAGGAAACCAGCCCATCTCTGCCACTGCTATGTTTCGGCCCTGGAAGAGGAGAAAAGGCACATGAAAGGTAACGATCAGCAGCAGTGCCAATCCAAAGACGTGCTGCTGTATGGCTGTGTGCATCTGTGTGTGTGTGTGGTATTTTATGTACAGTATATACTACATGGACAAAAGTATTGGGACACACAGGTGTATAAAATTAAGCACCTAGCTATGCATTTAAGTGTACAAACATTTGTGAAACAATGGGTCATTCTGATGAGCTGAAGCATAGTACTGTCATAGGATATAGCAATATGTTTTGTTGATTATAACTGTATATTTAGCTCTATATTTAATATCTAATAGTTCATATTATTATTTAATAATTAATATGTTATCCAGCCTAAATATGAAGTTTAAAAAAATATATTTTTAAATAAAACACACCAATTTAATACATCCGTAAACATATTTTACGTAGGTAGTCTAGTAGTCAATAAAACATCTCGCTATGGCCCTAAATATGTGGTTATAATCATTAAAACATTCTTATTGAAGTAAACATATGTTCTATCGATTATAACCATATAGCTATTTTTTTCCATCAATAAAACGCACACCTTTTTAAAACATTCCTAAAGGTATTTTATGTACGGTAATATTCAATGAAATACAGGTACAATGGATAAAACATATAGCTACTGTTTAATAATCTAATTAAACATATTCGGAGATGAGATTTTGTAGTAAGTGGTAATATTGCAAAGTGGAAGCATTCCTGGAATGGACTTCCATGGCCGAGCAGCTGCATGCAAGCCTCACATCACCAAGTGCAATGCCAAGCACCAGATGGAATAGTGTAAAGCGTGCCACCACTGAAGCAGTGGAAACGCGTTCGGTGGAGTGATCAGTGGTGGTCACAGCTAACCGAAACCAGTAACTTTTATTATATGAACTTAGCTTTTGTTTGGTTTTTGTCTCTGAAACCCTTAAAAAGAGCTAAAATTACCAGGGCATATTTATTTTCAGGGTTCATACCACCTGACCCTGTCCTTGTATCTCTTGCCTGTGTGGCCAGCAGCCATCGCTGGCCATCCCCTTTGCCATCTCATTGTCTTTGGCCCTAGTGTGTTATTCTTGCTCCCCAGACTGCTGCACTCCTCAATGGGTTGAATGTGTGGTACAGAGGCTGTAACCATCTGGTCATGGGTTCAAGGCTGGCCAGGAACCAGCCTCAGCTGTTTCAGCTAATTATTGGTTTTTCTGTTCTTCCTCGTGTTTATTAGTTCTGTGTTCTCCTTGTGAAGCTTGTGCCTTGTTCCACATGTTCCTTTATTTTCTGTGTGTTGAATTCCTGGGGGGTATTTTCCGTATGTTGCTTAAATCATCTGAGATCAGATGCCTCATCTTTGATGAGTTAATGCATCCAGGATAAGTTGGTTTTTCAAACGCAGCTGTGTAGTAGATTAGTCTAGCTGGATCCAATCATCTGAGATGATTGCGCACGCGCTGATGGAAAAGCTTATATATATCGAGTCTAGAAAACATGATCATCAAGTCTTTGATAGGCTGCAATAAAATGACAAAAGGAAGGGCGCACCTTTTCACACAAGCGGAGCAGGATATGAAGAATTTCAAGAACTAATATGCACAAGGGGTAACACGGCAAAAGCAGCCCAAACCAGAAAAGACGGCTGGAAAAAAGTGGCCAACAAATTAAATGCTTAAGTAGTGTTCATTGTACTTACTGAATGCAGCATTTCATTTCCTATGTGTCAGATTAATTAATATGTCATAATTCCAGATCAAACGTAAGCACAATGAGAATAGGGGAAAATGTTGAAGTGAATACTTCAAACTGGTGAATATTGGTATATAACTATTTAAAGGATTGTTGACATACATACAAGCAATGTCTTTTCAAAAGAATTTCCTCTGGGAGCAATAAAGGATCTTGCTGTTCGCACAAAACCCTCTCTACATGAAATTCTCTTATAATTTGCAGATCGATATCAATTGATCGCTCATTCATGAATGGCGAAGCCATGACTGAATGATTTCCATGCACAGACTTTAAGTGTGTGAGCTAATCCTTGTTTATATATAACAAACCTGCTCCGAGCAGTGGCCTGTACTACAAAGCGGGGTTACTGGCTTATTGGGGTAACTTGTCGGATTTAAGATACCACAGTTTTTAATGGACTTCATATTCGTTCACTTACATTTTTGCCCAGACTACCTTAAATCCAACAAGTTACCCTGATAAGCCAGTAACTCCGCTTCGTAGTACAGGCCCCTGGTTTGAGGATTTGGATGTGCTGCTATGACAACACATTCAGCAAGAATTTCGAAAAACTGACAGATCCAGGATCATGCCAATCGTCAGCAATTACATCCAGCTAATCAAGCAATCCATGTACGAAAAACATCCCCCAGGTGTGTGATTAGTGTTTCTTATTTGCAGTGTTTGTTGGAGTTTCCCTAGTCTTAAGTTCATTGGCATAAGTTATTGCACCTGTTGCCTGTTTTCCCTGCGCTGTTGTTATTGGTTGATTGTCTGACGTTCCACACCTTGCCCCTCTCATTAGCCCGGTTGCCTTTTGTGTATAAGTGCCTGCCCCTTCTCAGTTCTCTAGTCAATCATTGTGTATTCATATTGTGGTGTGGTCAGGATTCTCATTAGTTCTTGTTTTCCCTGTTTGCTTTGTTTTTTTCTCCCCCTTGTGGTCCTGTTATTTTGTGGTTTACCCTTTGTGTTCAGTTTTGCTTAATAACCCCATTTGTCTTAGACCCGTAAGAGGATTGTCACCCTCATTTCCTGCTTGCACTATGCCCTGAGTCTGTAGCAGAATGACTGACAGGGGCAGGCACAGGGACATTTCTTCATTCCCCACAAGGGGAACTTCAACGTCATAAAAATTTGTAGAATGTATGTCATGCTACGTAGATACTGCTTACTACAGGAAAATAAAGTTATGTTGTAAATGATAGTCAGTCCTGCTACAATGTGATATCACAGTCAATATCTGTCCCAATAGAACTCAGAGCTAGATAAGATTTTAACAACTCTGAGCTATTAGTTAAGTTCTACCCAAGTGAGCTCGATGGGCCGAATGGCCTCCTCTCGTTTGTATACAGGTAGTTTCTATGTTCTTATGTTCTTAATTGATATATTAGTATCTAAGTCCAATACAATGCAGAATCGCATTTGTATTTGTGCGATTTAAAGTCAGAGGGAAAAGCACTATGTGAACTACAATGCAATATGGTCTTGGCAAGAAACACTGCTTCCACGCAAATATCAAATGGATGATACTGATGTTAATGAATTATTTTGAAATTTACAAGAATTTAAGTTTTTGTACATCCACGCATTGTATGGGTCAAAGTCTTAGATTCTAGAAATTGACAAATTATTATGTCTGTAGCCATGTTGCCTTCAGTGCCTCTCCACATACCGTAATCCATTGTATTTGCACTGTGTGCATGCCTGGTTGCATGGTGACTGTGGCTCATTACACCGACTCTCAGCAATCAAGTTAGCGAGGCTGGCACATTCGGTTGAAGTGGTTACTTGGCAGAGCTTGTTAGACCCATAGGAGATGTTAATGATATAATTTACTCATGTATTTCTTATTTTAAATGTCTATAATTACATTATTGGACACTGGTGTTACTGTTTTTATTATTTAATTGATATTGTTTGGTGTAAGTTACTACGTTTTGGAGTCTCAATCCCTGAACCTTATTCTTCCCATTGGTGTGTTTAAGTAGGTGATTTTAGTGAACATGAGGTTTTGTCATGAATGCATTAGTCACACTGTAGCAGGACTGACTGTACTTACTCCAGGGTTTTTCATATTGTATTTACTATCTGAAGCACACATGCGATGACTGAGAAACTACTAAAAACATTATACACTCGAAGAGTGGCATCTTTAACCTTCTCACCTCCCACCACTGCAACTCCACATCTGCTCGGGTTAGCTCTATGATGTCACCCATTGAGAGGTGGAGGGGTTGACCAAACCCAACTGGGGGCGGGGGAAGTCCATAGTATTCCTGCCATACCTCCATCTTTGGCAACCCTGGCAGGAATGGAAAACACGTTAAAAGCACTCTCTTTTCCCAAGAAACAAGAGACTGCTGACTATACCTGAATGCATTGAAAACATACATATTCAATAGAATAATTACGTGATTATAAATCCCTATTTTGGGACAGGATTAGTTTTATCTACAGAGGTTCGGTATGTAGTTTGTAAAATGATTTAACTGGCAAATTCAGACAAAACTGAAGTTGTCTACTTATTCGCCAGCTTCTTATTGACAGGATCCATGCCATCTTAAATAGGGGATTTTCTTTTGACAAAAACTCCTATTGATAAATCTTGTAAATGTCAATACACCTGTTAGAAAGCTCAACACCATGTGATACACCAACTATTACACTTACTATATCTTGAGTTTGAAGATATTTTATTATGCATTCACTCTTTCATTTATTCATTCTCCACCACTTCTCTGAGGCTGGGTCGTCTGGGCTGTAGTCTCAGAAGGGATGCCCAGACCACCATCTCACCAGTCACCTTCTCTATTCATCCATCCATTAGCTTCTGCTTATCCAAGGTCGGGTCGCGGGGGCAGCAGTCTCAGTAGGGAAACCCAGACTTCCCTCTCCCCGGCCACTTCTTCCAGCTCCTCTAGGGAAATCCCGAGGCGTTACCAGGCCAGTCGAGAGACATAGTCCCTCCAGCGTGTCCTGGGTCTTCCCCGGGGC